ACACACTTAGTTTTTCCGAGCACGAACACTGCTGCGTGCGTAAAAGCGAAGTCAGGTATCGTACCGCTCCCAGGACCTCGAGTAGGACCCGGCCCTGCAGTCCTGGCCCCGGCCGGCCGGCCGGCCATCCGCTGACTTTAGTTCTGTTCCGGAGGGCAATTTCCGGCACGCCGTTCGGCCCAGCTCTCGGCCGGCACGCTCTCGCTACGTGAGAGAGGTTCGTGCCTCGGACAGAAAATGACCAATAATATCCTCGTGATTTACTTGCAGTCAAGGGCGTCAGGCGTCACTATTTTAAAAACGTTTTTTCCCTCATGCCTGTGGAATGAAAATTTCTTATCCACATCAGGTGCAAGACGAATAAATACTCCAAGAAACGCGTGCAGGAATTTTCCTGCAGTGCTAAAAAGATATCCGAAAATCACAGTGTAGTTAAAACACCAGAAAGACAGACGGGTGGGACGGATGGAGGCTTAGGATAAATGTGTCAGACAACGACCCACTTTCTCCATCGCACTTTGAACCAAGCCAAACCATTAAAACGTTACTTTTTTGCTTCATAATCTTTAGATAGCGGTGAGCACGATGATGCGCTGTGGTGCTGCACACGGCTGGTCGTCATGGTGACGGGGTGGGGATGGAGCAACTGGTGTGAGCGGGCCTACCACACCACAACCCACCCCAGCGACCTGCACTTCCCCGTCCTCGCTCTGCCACGCCCACCCACCATACCGCTCCGCTAACTAACCCCCACACACAACCCGCCCACCCGTCCGCTCGGCCCTGTGCCTTGCCTGTTCGCTCCGCTCCATCCCAGCAGGTACCAGTTTCCGGACGCAATCCCTTCCAGCTCAATCTCCAACCAGTATGGACATGGACACACACCTGTGAAGTATGAACCAGAAACACGTTGCCTTCAAATGTAAGTCAAGTAACTTTCGCGGGAAAAAACGAGCACATTTACGCAACCTTCCTCCAAACAAATTTGTCCCATGTCAAAAACTACAGCATTGCTACCTCCACCGTAAGTGTGTAAGTATATTGTTGCAATAGCCATAAAAACTGCGCATTTTTTGTGATACAATGCACGACTTATTTATTTTATCATTGCCAACATATGCAATGAACCGGGTGATTCAGAGCACGCGCCGCCGTGTTGCGGGTTTGCCTATCCTCGACTCAGCGGGCGCACGGGTGAGAGGTTAGGAGGTGAGGGGTCCCCTCCTCACCTCTCACCCGTGCGCCCGCCGAGTCGAGGATAGGCAAACCCGCAACGCGGCGGCGGGTGCTCTGAATCACCCGGAACATGTAGCACGTATTTTGGGACGTTTTTCTGATATTTGACTGTGATCTGCCACTGTTTCCCGCAATGCGCATATCATATACCTTTTCCTGCAATAAATCCGGAATCATATTGCCGTTTGTTTTGGCAATAACCGTCGTTCAAATTGTATCACAGTCCCATACAAGCATAAATCATGGGTATCACAATTGGATTTTTATCACACGAAAATGTGCGAGTTTTATCAGAACTTCACTTCAATTACAGCGGATCCGCTCCGCCCCGCCCTGGAGTAGGCCGCCCGGGGCCTCACTCGAGCACACACAATCCGCTCCTGGCCCCGGCCTCAGCCCAGCCCACCCCGGCCCCAAAACGTAAACTGCCTTTGCGTTCGATGCAAAGTCAATTAAGAAGTAATTTCAGGAGCCTCGCAACATGTCTGGGGGCGTTGCTCTTCGCTGCTCAGCAGCATCAGCAGCAGCGTCCCGTGCTGACTCAGAGCGGAGCGACGGGCGCGCCCGCAGGGCAGGCAAAGTTTGGAGTACTCTCGGAAAATAAAATAGCAGGGAATAGTTCAGACGTATACACATGCTTGTCATCCAGTTCGCTATCCGACCTCGCCGGGCCACCGTCTGTCTTATTTGCCAGGATGAGCCTGAGGCCGCGTACTCATGCGGTAAGGCAAATACAAAAGTGAGTGAGGTTGACTAACGATTATGTAGTTTTTGTACATTTACCATTAACTACGAAAGTAGATGAAACTGGAAAGTGAGCGGGGTTTATCAGCTACCTTACTGTCCCAACCGCGGTCTCAGATCTGAAAAGTGCTAAAACTAAAACTACACCTCCCCATATTAGATAGCCCTGAAACCTTGCCTGAAACAAATGTCCTGGTTGGTGAAATTAAGCGTGAAGACGACACGCTTTCTGGGTGAAGATTCGCAGAGTACAATCGCGTGGTCGAGAGTCAGGACCTCGGGTTCTGAGACACGTGCCGCGGCCGGGCTGCTGCTGCCGCCGCCGTTGTGGATTCAGATTCAGTAGCACGCTTCTCGAGAGAGGGGGTCCTCGGCATTATGTAAAACGGACGAGAATAATGAAATCGCAAACAGATCCGCCGCGACTGTCTGTCGAGTGCCCCGTGCCCCCTCTCCCCGCCCCGCTGCAGCCGCAGCTGCGATCATAGCCTCGAGCAGGGCTGGAGCCTCCAGCCTGGCGGGTCACCTCCACGCGCCGGCACTCGGCTCCTCGGCGGAGAATTGTGCTGAAGTGGATTGACCTGGACGAGTTTGTAAGACGTATTGACTTTCAGCGTCAATGGACGATTTGGGCTACCTTTGGGCCGGTGCAGCTAGATTGTCCGGCCTACTTTTCTCCGACCTGGTAATTTTCCCCAAATCCCCAAAAGTGCTGTCCCACCTCGGTTTTGTCCTACTTATCTTTCTCCGACCTCGTCGATATGCTGAAATTGGCGAAGAATGTGCTTCAAAGAGGAACAGGCTTCAAAAGTAAAAAATAAAAATGGGGGAGTACTTTCCTCATCCCACCGCAGTAGTTAGCGAACTGTGGTCTCTGTTCCGAACAGCCGCTCCCAACCGCAGTGGTCAGAACATACTCCCGGGGTCGTGGAACAACATATCAAAAGATGGCGCCACCTTTTTGGGGGTTGCTTAGGTGAGGGATCGGCCGGGACTTATCCGCTGTATCGCTCTTTTAACGACTGTACACCTCTCTCCCGGTTCGGCGGTGGCGCCAAACGTCCAGGTGCAGGTCCAGGGATAACTTTTATGGGTTACTTTAGTGAGAGGTCGGCTGGGTCAGCATGGACCCAAAGTGTCGCCCTGCACCCGGACGTTTGGCGCCACCACCGAACCGGGAGAGAGGTGTGCAGTCCCGGCCGATCCCTCACCTAAGCAACCCCCAAAAAGTTGTCGCCATCTTTTGATATGTTGTTCCACGCACTTCAAAACGCACAAATAAGTATATGT